CAGTTAAACAAATGCAGCATCAACAAAAGTCACACACCTGAAAATGATATTGTACCACACATGGTGACCTCCGGGCACCCTAAGCATCACAAGCACCTGTTACCCCAGCCCTTCTCACTACCTCCTCTACCTAAACTCCCTCCAGCTCCAAGGCTTCCCTCCCCTCAGCTACTCTTATAATCCTGCTGTTCTCCTCTCCATCCTCTCCTCACTTCCTCTCCAAGGTCTCACTGTATAGCCCCTGCTGTCCTGGAGATCAGAGATCTGCCTGCCTCTGCCTCCTGGGCAGCCATAGGACCCAGCAGTATGCACATAACAAGGCAGATGTGCTCTCACCTGCAGCTATAATCCCAGTGCTCCAGGGGGTCAGAGACAGAAGGGCCATAGGGCTGCCTTTTACATGTGAGCTATTGGCGAAGTTTAGATTCTCGGGAATGGGGAATCACTCGAACAGTTGTATGACCTACTGAGCTCAGAAGGACATCTCCAAATCCACTCACAGATGGTCCAGGTTAATTGTAGTGGATCAAAAAACTAAAGGGCTAGACATGAATAACTAAGAGATTTTATGGGACTGCAAGTCAGGGTTGAGGGTAAGGGTGGTCAGAATGCAAAACTACTATTAGGCTTGCTGAATAAAAAGGCAGGGTGTGCACCCTCCACACCCCTCTCCCCTACTACACATGAGTCTGGTAGTCTGAAGAAAGAGCTGGGCTTTTAACTATGACCACCTGACAGGGCTGGGGGACCCACCAGGCAAGGGGTTACGGCATAGTTCACCGCCTTTGTGGGAACTTGAAGACCTGCTCCAAAAAGGGATGAAAACAGTGGCTACTGAACCATCAGGCTCTGGTGTTTATTCTTTCCTGAACATTGCTGCCTACTTTCTTTTAGAAAGATAGATTGAGGTTAATATATACCTTCCTTAATCTTTTCAGTTCACACAGCTATCCAGACCAAATAACACCTTTGTCTAGCTAGGTGAGCATGGAATTGTTTCTAATAATACCTACCCAAATAGACCTATATATGCCCCTCACTGGAATTGTTCTAGGTGAAGTCTAAAAACAAGCCCCCCCCCAATTAATTCCAGTCAGAATTAAGTAACAGAATACTTAAGTTCTTTCAAAATGTTCACACCCAGACTGTCTTGATGACCTGTCAGCAAACTGTAATCATGTAACTTGTTAGTCTTCATAGCAGTGGCCAAACACCTAAGCAAAAATGGAAGTCAGACCTTCTAGTGGACATGGAAGGCTAGAGGTGAGGTGATTTTCAGTATTGAAAAATAAGGAGGGCTTCTAGGTAAGTAACTACTTTTTGATACAAACCATAACATGCCTTGACTTGGGCAAGCAATGATATGGGTGGTGCTTTTCCGGGTCACCAATCTGGATGAGGTGTGGCAGACTGGTTTACCTGTGCATCAGGCTCTGCACTGTACCCCACTATGCATGAGCTTCAAGCTGATTGACGCTATCTAGAACTGAAGCTTCTCAAATGGAGCCAGTGAGAGGTCCTGGGGGTTTTGCTCCAGGCCTGATGACCTGAGCCTAGGGACCCCCAATGTGGGAGAACACTGACTCCTGTAAACAGTCCTGACTTCTGCATGCACAGTGGTACACAGACACACTAAATCAGGGTTAGACACTAAATCAAGATCAAAAAGGTAGACTTCTAACCATGTTTTTAAAAACAGAACAAGAGTGCCTGTAAGTGGTCCCCAACACTTGAGAGGTAGTGACAGGCTCAGTTCAAGGTTATTCTCAGCTAAATAGCAGGTTTCAAGGCAGCCTGGACTATAACACAAGTTCTCCAAGTTACTGCTCTACCAATATGATCTGGTCTAATACATCAGGAACTCTACAATCCAAACGCTTCATTCCATCTGGAGATAAGAACCACGGCCAGAAGCGCTATGTCAGAAGATGCTACTGATGCCATGTACTCTCTGGGGTGTAGTGAACTGTCCCACATATACTAAACAGAGGTGCCCCATTTCCCAGTTTGAACAAGGAAGGCCATTAGGCTATCTTAATTAGAAATTGCCTGAAAGAAAGAGTTATCCACCTCACCAGCTAAATATGGCTACCCAAACTTTGTTCAGGGCAATACATGCAAATGGCAAGTGTACAAGAAGTAGCCATGTACAGTCACTAGAACCTCTCCTGACCTACAACAATCTAAGATTCAAGTTGCTATGCCTTGTGAATTGATAATTGGAAAATAACAAAGTGAGTTTTAGTATATAATGAGAAAGTGAAGGTTTTTAAAATACCTTTATAAATAAAATCATATTTAACTCTAGAAAATGTACCATGGTATTTGAGGATTGATTCTGAGCTGTTGTGAATATCTCCACACTGAAGCTTTACACATGGCCTGGAGGGTGCTGAGCACTTACAGTGCTGCTTGGTGACCACCTACCAAGGAAATACAGGTCCCCAGCCCAGTGGAGATTTGGAGGGGGCTGTTTTTAAGCCCCTTGAAGATTTAAACCATAGTCAGCTTATTTATGTGTGTTTTCTGTTTTTCTGAGACAATTTCACCAGGCAGCCCAGGCTGGGTTTAGGTATCCCCAGTTCACAACCTTCCTGCCTTAGCTCTTCAAGTATTGGGATGAATCACTATGCTTGCCTGCCCACTTGCATCTGTAACTGTGTCTACACCATAGAATTTAAGCTGAATGGGCTCTTAGAAACAACTTAGTCCAACCACAGTCATTTGATGTTGGGTCCTAGCCCCCACGGGGTCTCTGAATCGACATGTGCATCCTGTTCTCTAGTCCTAGCTCACAGTCCCCACTACACCTGGGGTTTCTCCACTGTGCTTAAGTGTATATAAGGCAGCTCGATGGGCGGTGGTGGTGCATGCCTTCAGCACTCAGGAGGCAGAGGCAGGCGGATCCCTGTGAGTTCGAGACCAGCCTGGTCTACAAGAGCTAGTTCCAGGACAGCCTACAAAGCCACAGGGAAACCCTGTCCGGAAGGTGGGGGGGGGGCAGCTCTCCCCCTGGAATAAAGTCGGACAGACTCACATAGCACAAGCGGCCGGACGTCTCTGCTTTTTAATTAAATCTCCAGGCTTTCTCCCAGTACTTGAACTTAGTCATGGGGTGGACACCAAGTGGAGGTTCCACCAAGATTGGGAAAGAAAGGAGGCCCTGAGAGATTCCCTCTAGGAAGGCTGGCCAGCAAATAAGGTTATGAGGGTGGATTGGTAAAGGTACTGGAAAGTGGGTACTGAGGCTCCTGAGAGTTGGATTGGAATAGAGAAGCGCTGTCTCAAAGGAAAATACTGTGAAAGTTTAAAGAAACAAGGTACTGATGTTAAGCAAAAGACGGCTAAAGATTTCACAGATAAGAGTAGTAAGTAAGCCACATAAAGATGGAAAGTACAAAGTCCGGATACTATATGCTATTGTGTTGTCTTTGAATTATTTAACTGCTGAGGAAATAGCAACAACTGCTAAAAGAAAGGCTGCTGGGATAATTCAACTTATATATTTCAAAATACTTTGACTTCACAATATAAGGACAGGTTACTTGGGAAAAGAATTTCTGCTTTTGTTTCCACAGAAAATGAGAAGCTGCGGATTCCTTTCAGACTAATGTGGTTTGATGAAGCAGACCCCCGAAACAATGGCCAGGTGATCCAACATTGAAGACACCTGGGATGATGCAGTCACAGACCACTATAGTTGGGATTTCTGGGTTTTCTTAGGATCCCCATGGTATTTCAGTGCCCCCAACCAGCAGGAAGTGGTGTGGAGAGAACGATGCCCACATTCCCAAATATTGTTTATAAATGTTTTCATTTAAATGGGGTGATTGCAGCTATTGCTGTTGCTGCTATAGCAGCCACTGTGTCTGGGATTGCCATCTCACAGTCTGTAACTACGGCCAGCACGGTGGGTAAACTGGCAGGGGAAGTAACAGAGGCCCTTAGCACTCAGAGCTCCATAAATAACTTAGTTCAGGTAGAAAGTTTAAATCTTAACAAATTATCAATTGGCCAATCAAATTATTAGGATAAATGGTTCCTCCATCCTCTGGGGAGATCCTCCTTAGGGGATTACAGATGGCAGGCCGTTTAGTCAAAGAATGGGCTGGGTCCTTATCTCTGGGCCTTGCAGCCATAAGACTTGTTATCATTCATTTGGCTAAGGTGCCTTGGCACTAGACAAGCCCAGGCTCAATTTGCCACATGATGGCCACAGAGAATCCTTCAGCTCAACTATGGTTGAGCCTACAGAAAAATTAGGCAGCCAATGACGGGTGAGACCAAGGGCATGCCAGCCAACCTAAGACAGAGTCATACAGCCTGGGTGATTTTTGCATTGACGGGTAAGGTTTGCATCAACGTCCTGGTCACCTAACACTGACGTTAATTTATACATAAAAAGGGAGAAGAAAAAAAAAAAAAAAAAGGAAGGGGTAGATGTTGGGCCCCAGCCCCCACAGGGTCTCTGAGTTGCTTGTCGGCCAATAACCACAGGTGCATCCTGTTTTCCAGTCCTGGCTTACAGCCCCAGCCTCGCCCCACTAGCATCAACTATACCTGGGAAAATACTCACTCTTACACCTGGGGTTTCTCCACTGTGCTGTAAGTGTATATAAGGCAGCTCTCCCCCTGGAATAAAGTCAGACAGACGCACATAGCACAAGCGGCCAGACGTCTCTTCTAATTAAATCTCCAGGCTTTTGCCTGATACTTGGACTTAGTCGCGGCTCAGACACCACAATTTTACATATGGACAGCAGATTTGGAGGTTGAACAACTTTTCCTGGGTAACAAGCTGACTCACTTTCCCCGATGAATGCCCAGGACCCACACCAGTGTCATTCACTCAAGACTAAAAGGCAATGGTATCACTGTATCTAGGCAAACACAATGCCAATATGTTTATCATAGACAACTGGAAAACCAAAGCTAAGTTGTGTTTTCCCACTGAATATAGTCTTTCTAGAATCAGTTGATGACGCTCTATGACAAGTGACTCAAGAAGTTCAAGTATTCTTTATTCAAAGTTGAAAAATGTACCATACTGCATTATTGCAAAAATTCACTGGTACAAAACACTTTGCAGCTGGTGAGAAGGCAATAAAAAGTTGATTTTTTAAAACTCATTACTATAAATTACTGTTACAGTACTTTGCAAATTCAGAATTTCAAACTGCATTTTCTTTTTCTAAATTGCCCACAGTCCTCAAGGTTCCTGAAGCTAAGGCAGCTGTTTCAGAGGAGGGAAGAGGTAGGAGATGTCAAGGGATTTCCATTTCTCTTTCGATGCCCACATACTTCAGGGCATCAGCCTGGCTGTATCTGAAACAACATGAACAAGAAGTGACTACTGTCCAATATTAGGAAAACCAAGCCTGTTGATGGAGAGGATTATGTCATGACAACTCGCAGACCCCGTCACTCAGCTGCATTCATGAAGAGGAAGCATGCAACTGTCACTCCTCAGTCCCACAGCCCTCCCTGTGCCTTTGTGGCACTCTACTGAGCCAATTCCACATTGTGATGTCTGTGTCTAATACTGAAAAAGCAAAATTAAGATCTGGAAAGTCCCATCACTAAGGAAGCTGGACACCTTTGCCTGTAACCCTGGTCCACTGAGAGCATGCACGAGACACAGCATGAGGACCCTATTCCAATCCCCAGGTGTCACTCACTTAATTCTCTCCAGCTATACAGTACAATGTACTAGAACTAAGCAACACAGGCCCCCATTTCAGCAACTAAAGTTTCTAGGTGGGGTGGATATTCAGTTACAAGAATTCTCTAACTAGATATCTTTACTTGACCACATTTAAGTAACTGTTTTGTCATGTTTGTCCCACAGCCAGGTAGAACACACTGCCAGCCTGCCTGTCTCCTGCCTGTCTCCTGCCTGCGGAGCTCTACACTGTCAGTTGTACTAGCTTCCCCAAAAAGATTCCACAGTGACCACAGGGTAACGATAACAATTAAAGCAATGAAGATAGATACACAAACTGCACCAATGAGAAAGGGTGCCTTAGAATACCGACGTGAAGTGAGACATAAGACCCAGGGGTCACAGTCATCAACAGCCGGGAGTTCAACGCAGCTTCCTGCGTGGGGTTTGTTTTTTCAAATAAGCATTATATAATTAACACATGGCAACCTATATTGAAGGAGCATTTAACTCCCTTCTGGTGTCCACAGCAATCAATGACTGGCCAGTTCAAAGAATGCCCTCTCCAATGACAGCAGATCAGGCAAAGAACTTAACGGCCTTTGACCTCAGCCCACAGTACAGGAAGGGAAAGCCTGCAGATTATACTAAAAGTTTATTTTACCAACCTGTAATCAAAAAACAGCTCTTCACCAGTCTGGATAGCTCTCTTAGCAAAGATGCCTATCCTGTGATCACCGTTAACCATCATAACTGGAAGGAGAAACACGGGGCTGGTGAGCATGAAGACAGGCCATGGCGGGTAACTGACTTCACACAGCAGGTGCCCCAGAGATACTGAAGTCTGCTATCACTTGGCTGGTAAAAAAGGGAATTTTTTGCATCAAATTGGCAGTGCCAACCTAAAAGCCTACCTTTTGCATAGCAGTTTGGATTTACTGAATGATTAGCAAAACGAATTTTGTTGCCCTTTCGGGTTGCGTCCACCACAAAATCTAAAAAAACAAAAGAAAACAATCCAGTGACTAATTGCAACCATGGACTAAAGTTGTTATGGTTTTAGAAACAGGTCTTCAGGATTTGACCTCAAAAGCAAATAAAACATTCAATACAAAATGACATTTGGAAGAAAATACTATTCTACATTAAAATGAATCCCTGGTGGCTAAATATGGCTCTCAAATGCCACGACTTCTCAATTATATGTTGCTGAACAAAACATGCCTAAAAAAAAAAAAAAAAAAAAAAAAAAAAAAAAGGATTCCTGCCGAATTTCTGTGAATATCAAGAAGTAGGCATATTGAGATTTAAGATTAGAATATTTCTATGGAACATTTTCATAAAGAAGAAAGAAAACATGTTCTATTTGTCCAGCTGAAAGTTTCTCTGAATATCTGTATTACCAACCCTGGCTGAGGTAGCTGCTGCTTTCCTCACAACCTGTGGACAACACCCTGGGCCACAAGGTTTCCACATGCTGCCTGTGCTCCCAGATCAGAGATGGTGACTAACCGGGTGCTGAAGCTACTCAGCCCCCAAATCCCAGGGAACACAAGACAAGCTACAGCTGTGGGGGAGACAATGTCCCCTCACAGCCAGAGTGTCTGGGGCTCCTTGTTTCCTGCATATAACCCTTCTACTCCATGGGGACTTCCCCTCTCCTCACACATCCCTGAGCCTAGGCCTGGTGATAAAAAAATCCCAGGAGCTGTTCCTGTAGACACATGCCCCTTCCTGGCATCTTGCTGACTTCCAACCTGAAATGCTCAGCCAGCAATCAGATCCCAAACCACCTCCAAGGAGCTAAGTGCCTCCAGCTCAGCACACACCACTGTTCAAGGAGCTAAGTGCCTCTAGCTCAGAACACACCACTGTTCAAGGAGCTAAGTGCCTCCAGCTCAGAACACACCACTGTTCAAGGAGCCAAGTGCCTCCAGCTCAGAACACATCACTGTTCAAGGAGCCAAGTGCCTCCAGCTCAGAACACACCACTGTTCAAGGATCTAAGTGCCTCTAGCTCAGCACACACCACTGTTCAAGGAGCTAAGTGCCTGCAGCTCAGAACACACCACTGTTCAAGGAGCTAAGTGCCTCTAGCTCAGAACATATCACTGTTCAAGGAGCTAAGTGCCTCCAGCTCAGAACACACCACTGTTCAAGGAGCTAAGTGCCTCCAGCTTAGCACGTACCGTTGTTCAAGTTGAAAAGGAAGCTGCACATATACTTGTCATACACTTTCCCTCTTCTGTCTGCTTCATCCTGAGAAATGATCTAGAAGGAAGACACAGGAGGAAATTGTTTGGAGTAAGTAGTCACACCTGTTAGGACATTTAAGGGCCAATGAACAGAATTTTGGTCCCTCTTGAGAATATCAAGGTGCCACAGTAGCCAAATTCTCTTCTCTGGTGTACAACAGTGAAGAATTTTTAAATGTTATTATATCTATTAATTTATGGGAAGATGCTTGTACACTCGTGCCCCGGTGTGTCTGAAGTCAAAAGACAACTGGAGGAGTCATTATTCTCCTCCCATCATGTGGGGTCCTAGGGACTAACCTCAGGTCATCAACCTAGCAGCTGCACCTTTACCACCCAACTCTCAGACCAGCACCCAATACGACATTTCTAAGAAAATCCCAAATCTGAGCGATTTCTGCTGATAAAAGAAAATACAAACTGTGACTTCCTGAAGCTGTCTTAAGGCTCCCCCTACCCCCCAGGCTGACAACTAAAAATGCCAAGTTAATAACGCTGTTGTTTCTCAGTCCCCATCAGCTCATCAATGAAGTAGAACCAATTCTACAAAGCAACGCTCTTGTTCCCGAATCCCTTATCTCCAGGTAATAAAAGCCAAACATGACTACAACTAAAGCAATCTAGCTAGTTACTGCACAAACCAAATCTACAAATACAAATAAGTCCGGGTTTATTTAGTATTCATTCTAACCTAGACTTGTCCAATGAACTCTATCTATCCAAAACAATGCAAGTTGCTGTTATACACAAGACCACTGGATTTCATAGAGTGCCTTACCTCTCCACAGTACTCTGAGATGAATTCATTTTTCTGTACAGGATCTTTGATAAAGATTCCCCAGCCTGCCACATCAGACGGTGCCAGCAGTAAGTGCTAGAGAATAAGCACAATCACATAATGAGAACACAGCAAAAGCAGAAGACTAGCGGGCTGCAACATCTTTGAAAACAAGTTGCCACGGTTAAACCTCAGACCCATCGAGGGGAATCACTCAATTCCCAAATGGATTTGACAGGTACGGAAAGTTGCCTAATGTATCTGAAAACCATGAAAGCAATGTTTCTAAACAAAACTCAGAATAAATATCCTCTTATAGGAAAAACAAAACCAAGCCTCTGGTGTCATGGGTACTGCAGAAGAAAGGGAGGTATGTGAGATCTGCTTTGCTTTTACTTCCTTTCAGTTCTCCACTAATTCATTCAACCTAACATAATCCAAAGGGTTCATGTGGACTGATCACCTAGAGGTGACTGAATTGTGAGGGCTCTGAACTCTTAACAGACTTATCCCCTGACAGACGCAGTTTGACGGCATTACTGGGAGGCGGTACAGACTGGGTGAGTTCTGGTTGGAGGATGTGGTCACTGGTGATGTGTCTTTCAAATGTGTATCTTGTTCGTGGCCCTTCCTGGGTTCCCCTGCCTCCTGTGTGCCATGGATTGAGCTACTGTTGCCCACCGAATGGTGCTCTGTCTCACTATGCACAGGTCAGAAGCAACAGGCAAGGGCCCATGTGCTGAAACTTTACCAGCCAAAACCTCTCTCTTTTAAGTTATTTCGCTCAGGTATTTTGTCACTGTGGCAAAACTGTGAAACACAAAGTATTATTTTTGTTATTTAGTGTGTATGCATACAGTGTATGCATGTGTGTGCACATGTATGTGTGCCCATGTGCAGGTCAAGGGCACTTCAGGTATTCTATCTATCTATTGCTCTACACCTTACTTCTTTAGAGACAGGATCTCTCTCACTGCCCCCCAGGCCCACCAACACTGGGGTTATTAGTGCATGTCTATGGCTGGCTTTTAATGTGGGTGCTAAGGATATGAGCTTATGTCCTTATGTCTGCAGGTAAGCTCCTTACCATGGCACCACCTCTCCAGACCCTAAGGATATGAGCTTATGTCCTTATGTCTGCAGGCAAGCTCCTTACCATGGCACCACCTCTCCGGACACTATGGATATGAGCTTATGTCCTTATGTCTGCAGGCAAGCTCCTTACCATGGCACCACCTCTCCAAACACTAGGGATATGAGCTTATGTCCTTATGTCTGCAGGCAAGCTCCTTACCATGGCACCACCTCTCCAGACCCAGGCTGCCCTAGAATGTGGGTATGCCACCACAGAGAATCACTATGAAGAATACCATTACTCATCAGTCCCACAAAGGCCAAGATGACCACTGGTTTTTGTTTTTGCAAAAGGGTTTCTCTGAGTTCTAGATGTCCTAGAACTCTCTCTGTAGCTCAGGTTGGCTTCAAACTCAGACATTCAAACTCACCTGCCTCTGCCACCTGAGTGCAGCACCACCCCGCTGACATGACAACTTTTCATCATGACTCTTTAGCATGCTTCATTCAGAGACTTCCTGTGACCTTTAAGGGATTCCCAGATCATCCAAACTTATCTCTTCCTATTCTGATCCATCCCTGTCAGGTGAATTTCCCAATCACCTTCCTGATCAGAAACAATATTAGCTAACTAGTGAAAACAATCAAGTGAACCCAGGTTAGTAAAGGCTATACATAGTGTTCTATTCTGAGAGTTAAAAGATGTCACAAAGACATGGCAGCATGAGGGTTACTGCCCCCTTTGTCAACAAGCTGAAGGAAGGGTCTATCTACCCTGTGATGGGAGAGATTGTTTGTTCTGAACAAATGTGCCAGAGGAAACTGAGACAACATAGTTATGATCTGTGACCTAGATGGATACGCAGCTACCTAAAGTAAAATGATCCAAAACCTCAAGAGAAAACTCACTCACAGCTAATCCAGACCATATCTTTCATGAACAGTGTTGAAGAAAACAGAAAGCTAAGAGAAGCTGAATGGCAGGATTTCAAAGAAGATCCCTGGGAGTGTGGTGACTGAGGGCTGGAGAGATGGCTCGGAGACTAAGAGCACTAGCTACTCCTTCGAAGGACTGGATTCAGTTCCCACACACAACCATCTGTATAAATATACCTTTGAAAATAAAAATAACAGGGTGCTACCCACCATGTGATAGCTCGTGAGATGTGCCTATATCACCCACAAGGCAGGAGAAGTGGCCGAGTAGAGACAGTAGGGACAGCGGGACACCAGAGTGTGTTTCTTGCTCCATTATTTGCAAGTCCTTTTTTTGTTTGTTTAAATTCATGGCATGCTATGGTGCAGGTGTGGTGGGCACCTTACTGAGTCAGTCAGTTCTCTACTTCCCCCTTATGAGTACTGGATTGTACCCATAGAGCCACCTCGTCAAACAGCAAGTCTTGTGATTCTGGTTTCCTTACCTATAAAGAAGGGTAGGTCTTCAAATAGTGCATGCTACATATTAAATAGCTAATAATATCACCTATTGTGTCCCAAAGAATTAATTAAAGAAAGATATTGAATCTTCCTAGTGTAAGCGATCAATCACACTTCTTTTGCTCAGTAATTATTCCCTGGATACTCAATTAAAATCACCTATGTACAGCTCTCAGGCTTCAAACACAACTGCTGGGTGGTTCATTTTTAAGGCTTTAAGGGTGTTTGTACAATGAGACAGTCTTACGATACAGTTCACATATATGCTCCTGACTCACTCAGTCTCTAGAGTGCTGGTATTGCAAGCATGCACCACATGCCTGGCTGTTTTCAAGGACACTACAGATCAACAACAAAGTCTACAGAACTTTGCTGGAGGGAAATTTCATCTTTTACTATGCACAGAAAGAATCCTAAAAGGGGGGGAAACATAGAAATCACTATCTGCTCACACTGAGGAGATAGATACAATACCTTTGTGTTAACAAACAAGAATGTTTGAGTCAACTGTTAGAATACTAGATAATAATGCCTATTTCAATTCGGGTAGCACATCTCAAAACTTCAGGTTTATGGGGGGGGGGGGATATGAGAGTGCATTAGCTCTGAGGTGGTCAGCTGTAAAGATGAAGCTGATTATCTGCTCTCCAGCCAACAGCTGAAACAGATGATGAACACAAACTCCATAATCCTATGAATTGTTCATGGCCACAGATGAAACTGTTGATGCTGAGTGAAGAGTGGAAGGGTTATGTGGTCTGAATCAGGTGTGGGAATAACAAGAGAGGTTTTCCCATGAAGCCAGGTATCTTGACCCACAGCCAAGTGTCTTTCTGCTGTTGAGTCGAAGCATTCTTGTTGCAGTATGAGAGAAACTACAAAGACAAAGTTCACATCTGTCTGTCGATGCCAGATAAAAAAGGAGAGAAGAATATTCCTCGACTGACAGATACTGTGTCTCAGTACTTAGAGCCCAAAAGAGCTAGTAGGACCTGAAAGCTTTTCAATCTCTCTAAAGATGATGCTCAGAAATATACTGCCAGAAAGCCCTTAAACAAAAAAGGCAAGAAGTCCAGGACCAAAGCAGACAGGGTTCAGCATCTTTTTACTCTACATGTCCTTCAACACAAATACCAACGTACTGCTCTGAAGAAATACCACACTAAGAAAAACAAGTAGGAAGCTGAAGAATATACTAATTTTTGGCCATGAGAATGAAATCAAAGAATGCCAGGAACAGATTGTCAAGAGATGTGTAGGGTGTCGTGTTGAGAGCTTATATTTGTAAGTCAGAGTCCAGTCAAAAAAAAGTCTTTAAGAGCAACAAATAAGTGATCAGACCTTAAATCTGGGATGGGGAGGGGACCATAACTGCATCATCCAAACAACACCTGACCACTTCTCTCTTTCATCAGCTGCAACTTTAAGGGTCACGTCTTCTTCTTTTTTTTTTTTTTTTTTTTTTTTTTTTTTTTTTTTTTTGGTTTTTCGAGACAGGGGTTCGCTGTGTAGCTTTGGAGCCTATCCTGGCACTCGCTCTGGAGACCAGGCTGGCCTCAAACTCACAGAGATCCACCTGCCTCTGCCTCCCGAGGGCTGGGATTAAAGGTGTGTGCCACCAACGCCCAGCAAGGGTCATTTTTATTTTTGTTGTTTGCAGATAAAATCTCCATGACTATCAGTAAATAGCCATTTTCCAAAAGATTGGATGAAGTTCAGTTGTTGGCAGAGTACTTATCTAGCATGCACAAAGCCCTGGGTTCAATCCACACCACTACATAAAATCAAGCATTGGAGCATAGACATAGGTCCAGCACTCAGAAGGTAGAGGCAGGAGGAGGATCAGAAACTCAAGTTCACTCTTAGTTACAACAGTGCGTTTGAGGACAGCATAGGTTACAAAAGACACTGTCAAAAAAAACAACAGAAAGTTTCCAGTCATGACTGTTACTTACCTTTTTAGAGCCCCGCTGAATACTGCAGTTCTTGCAGGATACATTTTTACTGTCCCAGTGGTCAGCAGCTCCACATGTGAGACAGAGGTCAGGGTCACACTCTCGGACAGCCAGGTAACATGGACACTGCTTGGTGTTGCACTGTGCTTTGCACCGGCATCCAGGAAAGCGGTTTTGACCTTCAAGGATAAATTTTATCACCATCACCACCATATCCAGCTATCATCATCCTATACAATCCTTAATAGGAATGCAGCCAATGCCTTGCTGAGCACAGGAATGACTCATTTAAATCCTCACAACCTTTCCCTTACTATTCCACTGTAGAGATGAAGAAACAGGAACAGCAAACATGAAGCTGTTAGGACTGAGAAAGAGCACTGCTGGGTTTTTGTTATGCATTTCTTATTTGTTAAATGGCAGATGAATAAGTTCTACAGTTAATTAAATAAGCAAAGAGAGGTCTTGGACTGGATGGTAGTCATGGCCCTTGACCACTCCAATAAGCCAGCAGCTCTCAACCTGTGGGTCGAAACCCCTTTGGCAAACTTTAATCTCCAAAAATATTTACAATTATAGTTCATATCAGTAGCAAAATTACAGTTATCAAATAGCAATGAAAATAATTTTATGGCTGGGGGTCACCACAACATGAAGAACTATATTAAAAGGCTGTAGCATTAGGAAGGCTGAGAACCACCATAATAAATCCTATTTCTAATCCATCCCCTGGTATCCAAACTCTGTGTACAGCTTCGTTAAGTGATTCTAAAAACCTAACAGCCTTACGCTACTTTCCTTGACTCTAACTCACTCCTCTGATGCCCACAAAAGGCTTGGGCATCCTGTCCTTACAGTCTATGCCACTTTACTGTAATTCAAATGACCAAAGAAAAAAACAGACAAATCCAATCCAGTACTACAACTCTGCCTAGCTTGTGTGTACACACACACTCACATTACCCAGGAGGCTGACTAGACGTTAGCACTTAAAGGCCCAATGAATACTTGTAGACTAAGTAGCTTTCCTAAAGCAAGCAGTAAGAGAACACTCCCAGTCCTTATGTCTTGATTTAAATCACCATTTTCAGTTGCTGACCAAAGGCCTATTCAATGCTCATGCAATTGCACCAAAGCAACAAATACTTACACTCTGAACTACATTGACAAAACTTTTCACAAAAATTTTGTGCTATCACACAAGGGCACGAACTGTCACAAGGCTGTCGTGGATGGTCACAGGGTTGATAGTTGTAAACATGGTTAGAGGAGCCGTCTGAGTAAAGATAACAGCACGCAGCCAATGAATCCAGGGAGATGGGAAATGATCATCACAATTAACAAGACATTCTTCCCCACTACCTCTGGAACATCCTCTACTGGCTGCCTTTACCGGAATATACACACTCCTGCGGAAAAAATCACCTCCCGCCCCCAAGTGCTTAAAAACCTGGTTTCACATGTCAGCCCCCCTGCCAAAGTGCTAGTTCACTGCTTCTCACTAACTCACTCCATCCGACTCGTTTCCAACTTTCTGAACAGCAAGCAGTAACTGGAGAGCAACAGACACATTTCATTTAAATTGATTTGCTAAGTGAAGGCAATTAAGTCAGAATAACCAAAACTTCAATCAAGCTTCTATTCTAAAACAAACCAAGACAAAAGGAGTTTTAGGCTAACAATGAGGTTAAATGGGGAGGTGCTGACCCTTTTTCAGTTGTATCTTTCTGCAGTGCGCAGCCCACAACCTGCAAAAAAGAAAAACAAACTTCTTGTGTGAAGGTGCAAAAACAACCACTACAAATTCACCTGAGACCTGTTTGAGTGGCTCTGTCTGTACAATTAACATAGCAGAGCTCAAAGGCCACGATGACCTAGGAACCTGCTCCATCAGGTTGCTATGCCATGCCAGGGGCTTGTATGAAAGTATTCGTCCACATGGCCTGGTTAAGACTAAGGGGGCCTTGTTCTTTAGTCTTGTGTGAATTCTATGGATACTGATCCTTTCTATAACTTCAGGCATCATTAACCACCCAGTTGAACTGCATGGTAAGAAACTGCTCAACCAAAAATTCAGAAGCATCTACTAAGGCCTAAACTCCTGTTTCCATGGGAAATTTTCTTTAAAGTTTTAAATGATTCACAATAGCAATGCAATACATACAATATGGGCCTATACAGAATTTTTGAAGCATAATCTGCTTCCTTACCTACTCAACCATACTTTTCATTTTAAAAAACAGTAGGTTGGGGAGGGATCCAACCATGATTTCCCTGGCTCTACATTTACAAAAGCATCCTGTACACTTATTCACTGAAAGCTTTTGTGAGAGTAATATCCACAGACTTGGAGGAGGCTCACTTTAAATATCAGAATATGATGGTACACACTTAGAAAATCCAGCCTCCTAGAATAAAAGACACTTCTAAACACTGGCCCAGAAAGCACAGTAGGAACATATCTTAAACATTCCATACCAAATGGCTAAAGGAACTGTTCATAGTCTGTACTGCAATACGTTTTTCTCAACCAAAATCCAATGTGATAACCAAAATTTTTATGACTTGATACGCCAAATATACTGAAGTGACTGTATATAAAAAGTAACAGCAACCATCAGGGAGAAATGAAATTTCTATAGGTTTATGTTTGACAGAGATTTAAAACCCTTTTTATAATCATTCAGGTGAAAAGCAACTCCTGCTTTTAGGAGAAGCCCTAGAACAGCACTGGCTCAACAGACTTACCGGTGTTTTCTTTTCTTCTTTCTCGGAGGAGTGTCCACATCTTCAGTAGGGACAGGTGCTATGACACTGGACTCTTTGACTCTGAACTCATACACCTAGGTGAAAGGCAGGGGCAGAGTAACATACATGGTCACGCCATGCTTTTACATACTGGAAAAATGTTTGTCTCTCTGTGACAATGCCAGGTATATCGAGTATAGGGCAAGATACAGAGTAGAAATCACTGCTTTCTCATCACGTTGGGAGCATAGCTAAATTTAGAGTCTATCTATTTAAATCTACCACATCCAAACTGAAGTCTAAACTGGGGAAATTCTGAAACATAGCTAAAAAAATACTACTGAATTTTCTTAAGGAGGGGGAGAGAAATAATTCTTTTCAGAAGATGAACAAAATGAAATCAAGACGCACCAAGTCTGGACAGTTAGCACCTATTATCCCTGTATTTAAATATCTTTGAATACATATGCTTACCTGTCTACATGTTTTGGTCCCAATTAGCCTAGCAATGGCACAAAAATTATCGTAGTAAGTACCGATGAGGACTCTAAACATTGAGGCTTCAGCACCACTCCACTCCACATTCTCAGGAGGTTCAATATTTGGCTTCATCTTTATTGGTGTTTGACACCGAGAATTGGCTTCTACAAAACCAAATGTTAGCACTAGTCAAGAAAAAGGGACTGGGGAAATGACTCAGTGGGTAAAAGCTCCTATCATGCAAGCACAAGGACCAGAGTTCAAATCTTTTCAACCACATAAAAGTCAGACATATAGCACAAGCATCTGTTATCCCAGCACTCCTACAAGGAAATGAGAGACAGAGATGGGAGAATCTCCAGCAGTTCACAGGCCAGCTAGCCCAGTGTACACAGGGGACAAAACAAAAAAACAAAACAACAACAACAAAAAACAAAATATCTTATCTCAAATAAGATGGACAGGGAGGATTCACCCAAGAAATTATTCTGTGCCATTCACAAGAACACCAAGGCATAGCAGAACGCACATACGCATACAAGCCTAAACATTATGAACAAGCAAAACTCAAGGTATGATAAAGAAAAATAGAAGGCACTTAAATTGTATTTTGAAATTAAGTAAAACATTGAATTTTAGAATTAAGCAAAACTAGAAACAATATCAAAAAGATCCCCATCCTCCCCAACAGAACCCATGAAACCCTGTTTCCTTTAACACTGACTTATCAAATAAACACAAATGGGGTCTATTACCATTTACGGTATTGTTCACAGAGTTGAAAGAACTAAAACTCAATAAAAGATAAACTAAGTAAACAGCAATACTTGTTTTCTTCTGAACCAAAACTTCAAGATTAAAGCCAAGTATCTCAGTTTCATCATGCTCCATCAAAGAAAGATGGAGTAGGGAAACAGTACAGCAGCAAGAGCAAATTAGATCAGACCTTGCAGTAACCCAGACAGACAAAGATGGCAAGCCTTATAGTGGGGAGAGAGCACAAACAATTCAGCTATTCACACTGAGAGAACTGTCCAATCTTAGCAATGAAAGGGGAGAGATGGCTCAGTGGTTAGGACAGCATACTGCTCTTGCAGAGAGGACCTGAGTTTGATTCCTAACATGCATGTCAGGTGGCTGTGAGCCACCTGTAACTCCAGCCTTCTGTGCCTGCTTGCATTAGATGATCTTAACTCTCATCAAGTTCAACTTACAAAGCAATAAACAGCAAACCCAGTTATCAGATGTGTCTTACCAGAGGAGCTGGAAGTTTCATCTTTCTTCTCTTCTTCTTCTTTATCATTGTTCTCTCCTCCAGTTTCAGTTCCTGCTTCCCTGTCACTGTCTGTATCCTTTGACTCCAGCACACTGATGGTAGGGGTGCTGGGTCTGCTACTATTATTTGGAAGTCTTCCTCTTCTTCGGCCCCCTGGACGTTTGGGTGGTGTTTTTATCCGCTCAGCAGTGAGGGCAGCAGCAAACTCCTTAGCTCCCTCCTGCAAAAGGAAAAATGGAAGAATCAGGATAAAGTTCTAACCTTTATTTTGGTGGAATAGAATAAGAGGACATTACATAACACAAGAATCTATCATGGTATCCATTACCATAGTCTTTTGTATATCAACACACCCAACTACTTTTTGTCTGCTTTAGATTTCAGAAACATAAAAATAGGTTCAATATTTTGTTCTAATGATGCTAAATCAGGCAAGACAGTTCTACAAGATGAATTTGTAAAGTATGTTAAGTTAACATAGCAAGTTAAAATATAAAAGCATTTTGCATAATAAAGTTATTTTCTCTACATATACATATAGTATACTTAAGAGAATCTATATCAAAAAGACTCACATACTAAAGTGTTTCAAGTCAAACTTCCTATTTCAAAGCTTAAAATAATACATACCTCCTTAAAGGTATTATTTAAAGTATACAAGGACACAAACATATACATGCATGACTTAGTCATTTCCGGTCTTACTATTAAAACATCCAATACTTTTTCCTGTGAAGGATGCAAAGCCACAGGAAGACATGAAAGAACTTTTAGGAACAAGAAAAGGGTTACATTTTTGCATTCTGAATATCACAATCCAATCTCAGAAAGTATAAAACAATGGTAAGAGCATGGTTTGTAAAAGTGACCACAGAAATGTTTTAGATGAGCCAATAAAGCTCTGCCTTATAAAGAATATAAAACAGTGCTTAAGAATTCCTTTTTGTTATTTTTTTATTTTTTAGTGGAAATAGAAGGGAAAAGTTTGAAAGGAGCCAACAGTTTTATACTTCAGTCTACAAAAACCAATGCTTAAAAATAGGATACCTTCTGTAGGTGCCATTCATTGAATCTTCTGTCCAAAATCCAACAGGCAATATATACCCACTTAGTTCCTAGGTAGGAGTGGCTTGGTTCAAAGAGGGGAAATGGTAAAAAATAAGATAGTACCCGTAAAAAACAACTTTCCTGCCTCATACTTTCCTAATTCCTTACTCCTAATCTCTATCACTTAAAAAAAGAAATTCTGTGGGATCTATGGTATAGCTCAAACTACAAGTGGCCTAAAACATTCACAGAAGGGATACGCCCATGCGAAAGGCTTAGGAACGTCAAGTCTGCACACGATTACTGATTTTCTGATGTCTAAGTGGGCTATCTATGCCTCATACTCTCATAAACTTTGTAGAGAGTCCTTGATCCTAAAGACCGAGAAACATTGCTGAAGAAGTAACACAGATAAACAAAGAGTAACACAAGGTTATTAGACTACACTGCAGTACAGAGCTATGAAAGAAATGAGAGTGAGAACACTCCTGTCATATGGCCATGGAAATACCGACCCAGACAGCATTAGTGCTGCTTCACCACCTCCACCAAAGTTCTTAAGAGCCCTCGAGAGAAACAAAACACTACGTCTCACCAGATGCTGGTAACACTGTGGTCCACAAGGCTTGTTGTCCAGAGCTGTTTCTGTGTTCTTCCGTTTATATGTATTGGGTGTTGCGTGGAAGGCTGTAAAATAAACCCAAAGTATCTGAGTGTGGCTATAAAAAGTTTACTTATAAAAGCTTCATTTCCCTAGATCCACTGGAAAATCCACTAATATCTTTCAAGTATGTAGTTTATTTTATACAACTTCCCTCCATCTATCACAGGGTATTTTCCACTCTTTCTCCAACCACCAAAACAGTTAAAAACATGGTATACTCTAGAATAATTCATAATTCTTATTTTCCCCTTGCAAGTATGGGCATGAAGTGTGACTATAAACATTCACTTGAGTGTTTGGTATCTCCAACAAGAAAAAAATATTGCAAAAAGAAACCAGACTTCTTAATTTTATAAAAAAAAAAAAATTCTGGCATCTACAATTCCCCTGTGTAGGGAGGGGTTTTTTTTGGGGGGATGGGGGTGAAACAGGAGTATTGAATCTTTCTCAGACTGTCTTTAAACTCAGTGCAATCCTCCTGCCTCACCTCCTGAGTACTAGAATTGCAGGTTTATATCACAATACTCAGCTCTGACATAATTTCTTGATTTCTAGAGGAAGGTCAACATATTAAGCATGGAGTAGAAAATGGTTCTACTTGCTATAACTCTACAGAGAAGCTCTCAATGGCTGAGATTCAATTCTAGAGTGTGTTTACCACTTGTTTTCTCATGGAATGGAAAAGGCCAATGCTTAAAACAAGATGAAAATGATCTTAATTTGGCTAAAAATAAGTGATATTCACAGAGTTATGTGGGACTTTGGCTGGGTTTTTTTGGTGGCAGTATCCCTCCAAGGCTCAGGGCTAATTGAGGAAAAGAGCATAGACTTAGTTTAGAGCCAGAGGCAGTGGATGACTTGAAAGTGTTACTATTTTGTTTTTTGAAATGTAACTTTACTTCAAGTTTACTAAAGATAGATAACACTGACAAGTGCAAATAAGGCGTTCACTCACTGTCTTATGGATAGAGAGAAATTAAGACAACTGGAACTACCAAAGTATCACTTCAGATGAGGAGTGCAGTCAACACAAGGACATGGAGGTAGAAGTCTTGAAACCTACTTCAAGTATTTCTAATTTAAGACCATTAATACTACAATTCCCTCTCTACACCCCCCCCCACACACACACTATTTAATATTTCCAGGCCAAAATAAGAAATTGTAAGTGGAAAGGAGCAACAAATATAAACAGATAAAGCAAAAATTTTAATATAGGTAGTAAGAAAGATGTAGCTGTAAGTATTATCACTGGCCAGGTGTGGTAGCACATACCTTAAATCTTAGCACTCAGGAGTCAGAGGCAGGCAGATCTCTGTGAGTTCAAAGCTAGCCTGGACTACATAGTGAAACCTTGTCTCAAAACAACAGCAAAAAGTATAGAAAGGTACTCAAAAGAGCAAAGTAGTATGGGGCAACTTAGCATAGGAGAAAGCAACTTTACACCGGCTCCTAAAGCTATGATCATGCAATTTAATAAGCACAATGAGCTACAATAGAAAAGGCTACCTATATTAACTAGAGAAAGTGTTGATAAAGTGCAAACACTTTCAAAATGTGTGCTTAAAACTAATTGCTGCTTTTTATACTCAAGCATAGGGATGTGGCATGTGCCTAGCAGGGGCAAGGCCCTGGTTCAATCCCTAGTACTATAGAAGACAGACAGGACCACATATCAGCCTGGAGAGAATTCCAATTTTAGTGGGATGTGGTAGTATGCTCCGGTAATTCTAGCACTCAGGAGGCTGAGGCAGGAGGATCAGGATAATCAGCAGTTCAAGGCCAGCCTCAGCTACATACTGAGCACAAGGCTCTGTCTCAAAAGACACAAAACAAATTCTAGTTAACTGGAAATTTTACTAAGAAACTTCATTCCCTAGAAATGTCATGGGGAAAGTAAGTTTTCATACAGACACTAAGAATATTTTATGTTTTGCTTGTATTGAAATGCAAGTACTTATGAAGCAATTACTCAAAGGATCAAAAAGAAATAAAATATTTTTAACACTAGGTAAGAACTTGTTCAGCCAATTTGTTACTTAACAAAATTTGTTCAGAAATATTGGCAATATTGCTCTGAGCTATGAGTTCCTTTACAATAATAATTCCATTATAAAATAGCCTTATAAAGAGTCACTGACCTGTACTCCAAGTAAATGGGGAAGCAATAACTGGAATTAAATGTGTACAAAAGATGTCAGAGGAATCCTCAAACAAGGTAAACAGTACAGGGATATAACATATTTCTCAACCTTTACTACAAGACTGACTGACACATTCTAGTTTTGATAAATGACAATACTTTCAAGATGCTTGAATACATATTTCAACAACAAAGATAGAAAATGAAAACGTACAATAATTGCACTTACGATGTAGGAAGCAGTCATACTTAAAACACCGCCGACAGAAGAGAGTATGAAATGAATGTAGACTTTGCTCCCTCTGAACAGACTTAGCATTTGGTCCATCTATGTTTGGGGTGCATTCGGGAGGCAGAGCACCCGGGAGCTGCTGCTCGGTGAGCTCTTTATATCTGACAGCAAATAAACACAAAACATGTAAGCAGAAAGAAAAATCATTTTTTTAAAGTTTCTAAAAGGCTTCCTTTGGATTTGATTTTTTTTTTTATGTTACCTTACCTAAAAACACAACAAAAAAAGATCTAACCCATAGAAATCTTTACTTACAGAAAGAACTAAGCTCGTTAATACAATTCAGGTATATCACAGGTTATTATATTAGTTTGAATTAAATATAAAAATCTCTACCAGTGCCCAGAAAAGTTTTCCTACAATAAACTAATGTAAATTGTACATGGGCTTATTGTGTGCATGAATATCTATCTGTACACTTACTCTACATGCAATAACCCTTTATAACACATAGTACAAGAATAGGGTGTGGGGTGTGGAAGAGAGGAATGGAGATTGTGCTTGAAGTGTCACACAAGCTGTAAACTATGGAATGGCTCATCACACTCGGTAATTCCATTTAGAAAAAAACAAGATGATGAATTATATGCAAGACTGCCCCATATTTTAAAAAAAAAATCTCACTTACTTTTCTTTTAGTTCTTCTGCTGTTCCCTTATCTGGAAACATTGAGGAAATGGCTTCAAAAATTTTATCAGCAGGAAATTTCCGAGGAGGGCAACTTTCTTTATCTAAACAGTGAATTGTGATGGGGGGGGGGGGGGGGAAAGAAACAAGTTTAAATCTCATTTTTCTCTTTATCACACAGTATCTCAACAACACTGATTTCCTAAGGCACTGTCAACTTCGCTTCACTTTTGGGGGGCTGGTGGAATAATCTTTGGGACAAGGTCTCTTTCTATGTAGTTCTAGTTGGAATTCAACTAAGTACAGGTTGATGTCAAACCTTTGGTGACTATTATTATTTTTAGTGTGTGCACCACCGTGCATGTGTAAAGATCAGAGGACAACTTTTGTGAGTTAGTACAATGCTCTTCTACAGTTAAATCCAGCAATCAAACTCAAGTCATCAAGATGTGCTCAGCAAGCACTCTTATCCAGTGACAGTCCACTTTTCTATTCTACTGTCTCTGGCTCTGACTAGCTTGGGGATTTTATTGGGGACGCTTGCCTAGTGTAGCCCAAGATGGCATAAAACTCACTATGTAGCTGAGGACAACCTTGAACTTCTGACTCTCCTGCCTTTACTCTCAAGTGCTGAGATTATAGGCATGTGCCAACAAACCCTGTATCATTTACTTCTAATGTAAAGCCTGTGGAATATTTGAAGAACAAACATAAAATTCAAATATGAGATGTTTTAAGAGCAGTGGAAGACAGAACCCCCAGATTTTCATTATTTGCAACTAATAGCTTTGTGTCAGCAATGATACTAATACACTTTCAGATCTGCCAGTAGCTTGACAGAATTAGCGATCATCCAGTTGACCCCTAAGATGTATTTCTGTTATAAAGAATACGTGCCTCTTGATATTGCAATTCTCCCCTAAATTCTACTAAGCTGCCTTAATACTAGGCTTGCTGAGTAGAGGACAGCATTTATAGGCTCTGCCATAGGATGGACTGGTTTCTAATAATCCTTAACAAGTGCAGATGCAATAACAGCACAGCTCCTGAGACAGACCTAGGTCATCGTCTTAGGGCTCAGTGTTCTACTTCTTCCCAGTATTACAGTCTTCAGTAAGTTCTTTAGCCTTTAGCCTCTCTAAACTCATTCCCAATATATAATGGATCTGATAGCAACACCGACATTGCAGAGCTGTGGAAGGATAAGTGAGCTGGTGCGTATGAAGTAAGCATGCAATGTACATAATATGTGATATTGTTATAAAGATATTGCAATAATTGACCAGCAAAGCCCAGCATGCAATGTACATAATATGTGATATTATTATAAAGATATTGCAATAATTGATCAGCAAAGCCCAGCATGCAATGTACATAATATGTGATATTACTATAAAGATATTGCAATAATTGATCAGCAAAGCCCAAAAAGGATTATGTTCCTCTGCCAGGCAAAGCAAACAAAGAAGCTACAGTGGACAATGAAATCCTGCAGAGAATATATTTGATTATACTACTAAGACATATTTAACAAAAGGAGAGGGAAATTACATTCTACTCATAATGGGATTTTTTCTTACATTTACATATATGACTGTATATATGCCACAGTGTACAGGAATGTGAAGATAAGAGGGTAACTTAGGAGACTGTCAGTTCTTTTCCTCCACAGTGTAAGTCTCAGGGATCAAACTCAATTCAATCAGGCTTGATGGTTTTACTCACTGAGCCATTCACTAGGCTCCACACGTTTTTTAAAGAATGATGTAGGCTCATACAAAAAAAAAAAAAAAACCCTAGTATTAAACATACCATCTTGACTATCCTCTAGATCTTTCTGTTTTTCTTCTCTTTCATCAGGATCATCTCCATCATCATCATCGTCATCATCATTATATTGACCAAGAGCATTTACCAACTCCACAAAAATTTCATCATTTATAAATCCACATTCTAAAAGTCAGTCAGAAACAGGGGAAAGTGTTATGACAAAAGTTTATGTTTGTGTTTCCTAATCTGGAAGAACAGCCAGGGCCCATCAGCACAGCACTGTAACTAACCTGAGGGGCAGACACAGTCAGTCAAGATCATTTCACAGCCAGCGAAGACAACAGCAATGATCATTGAGTGTCTGTTGTTTTCTCAGGAATCACCCCCTCTCCAGATGGTCCAGGACCCTTTATTCTCCTAATCTTCTAAGACCTGTGGCTTTAGCCTCCTCCCAATCTGTGCCACTGACTGGCCACTTCAAACCTTGTTTCCTACTATAATATGACCACACCCCCTTCTCTCAGATACCAAGAACCTCCTGAACACAAGAAACTTGAATCCAGGAATCTCATGACTCAACTTCAGGCGCTAAGGCAGCCCTGAGGAAAGGTGTTTTTGAGCAGGGAGGCTTTCTGAAGCACACATCCCATAAATAGAACTTTAAGCCTAGTTAATTTTATTATTTAAAGCTTACCAAATACACACACTCCGTTCCTATAAAATTTCCATGTTGCTGCTACAGTTCATAACTATTTACTGATGGTTACCAAGTGGCAAACAAGTAAGATCCGCTAATGGAAAAACTAAAAAAAAAAAAAAAAACCACCAAAAATGTAGGCCTGTAAGCCCAGGCTAGTCTTTTATAGTCAAACACAAAAATTAATTTTATCACAAAAAAGTTTGTTATTTGTTTGTTTGTTTGTTTTACAAACCCTATGTTAAGAACCCAAGCATTGGGGCTGGAGAGATGGCTCAGAGGTTAAGAGCACTGACTGCTCTTCCAGAGGTCCTGAGTTCAATTCCCAGCAACCACATGGTGACTCACAGCCATCCGTTATGAGATCTGGTGCCCTCTTCTGTTGTGCAGATATACATGGAAGCAGAATGTTGTATATATAATAAATAAATAAAACCTTTAAAAAAAAAAAAAAGAACCCAAGCATCTTGAATCTTTAACAAAGCCCCCAAGAGAATATACATATAACTCACCTCTGTCTCCATGCACTTTCCCATCATAATTTTTTATTAGTTCTTCAATGAAAGTGCCATCCTGATCCAGAACTTCATCCCCCATATAAGGAATATTATGTAAAACAGTTTCATCTTCCACCTCAAAATTGGAAAAAAATTAAAACCAGATGTATTCTAATTATTGAAATATTTTTTAAAACTCATTATGGAGACCAGAGAGATGGCTCAGCAGGTAAAGACACTTGCTGCCAAGCCTGGCAACCAGATTTCACTCCCTGAGACAAATGTGATAGAAAGAGAACTAACTCCCCACAAGCTGTCCTATGACCTCCACACATTTGCCATGCTACACAAATACAGATACATACGTGTACACACACACACACACACTTTTTAAGCTCTCAATGTGAGAAAGTACTGCAAATATAGCTCATTCAATAGGAGACACTTGTTCAGCATGCTGAAGACCAAGCTCAATACCCAGTACCACACAAAAAAGTCAATGAGATAACAAAAAAACAGTGTTTTCCATGACCACTTGTCTTTACCTAGGTCTCTAGAGCAAACTCTTAACTACTGCAGCTATATTTAATCTCATATGCAATCCTCCCTTAAGAACCTCTAAGAAAGGAAACTGTTGCAGGCTACATGAGACATCAATCTTAAGATGTTCCTATTGTAGATACTGAAATGGGAGCCTTCTGTAATAGAACTGATGAATGTGATTTATCAAAATAAACTCTAAATAATCATCAAAAGAGTTACTGACTTCATTTGCTGATCTTCATTTGGTAAGACATTCAATACAATAAAATTCTCAGCAATCCTGTAGTGTTCTGAACGAGAACAGTCCTCCAGGGGCCTGTGTATCTCAACACTCGTTCCTCAGGTGGTGGTGATGTCTGAAGGTGAAGGAGGTGCAGTCTTGCTTGAAGAAGCATGTCACTAGGTAAAGGCTTCTAAGATTCCATAGCCTCACTTCATTTCTGGTTCTCTCTCTCCCCCCACCTCTCTGCTTTGTGGTTCAGTTAAGGATGTAATCTCTCAGTTTCTTGCTCCAGCCACCACACCTCTGGCTGGTAGACTCTTCTCCCTCTGGAAACATGAGCCCAAATAAACTCTTCCTTCTGTAAGTTGCCTTAGTCTTGGTGATTTATCATAGCAACAAAAAACAAAAAAACAAAAAACTTACACAGATATGAAACACAGTAGAAGTTAAAGTTTATGCCAAAAGGATGTGTGCTTGCAAAATCAGAATATGTTACTGCAACAGAAAATATTTTAATACTTTGATGAACCAGCCACACATCAAAGTTGATTATGCAGTAAACAAGATGGGTAAGTCTGCATCAAAGTATAATAAACAGTTGGGAAGGGCCAATGAAAAGTGTAGAGACACAAAGGACAAAAAACCAACAATCATTGAAGGAAGTTTCAAAACCGTAAAAATGATAGCAACTATACAGGACTGGATGGTTCTGAAGCATATATAAAGAAATTAAGTTATGGCAGGCCTGTACAAACCCTTGAACAAGGTATTGATTAAATTTTGAGTTTTAGAAAATTAACTCTGAAAAACAGAATGGACTAGCTGAGACTCAATGGAGAACACAGGGAATACTTCAGGCATTAAAATGTTACAAGCCTAGGACCAGACTATGACAACGACCAAGAGGAAAGAATGCAGTGGAAAAGACCATGCGATACATAGGTGACCATCAGGCAACTCATCAAGAAACAGAAATAGATGTTTTTTTCAAATGATTACTAGATAACAAATTTTGAGTTTATCAGAAGTGTAGATAAAGGAAATGAAAATTGAGACAAAAGCAAAGTCTGAGATACAAAAGGAAAATGTAGAGCTTAATGTATTTGTTCAGGTTCAAGCATATCTGTACACTCTCAGGCTCAAGCATATCTTCACACACTCTCTCAGGTCCAAGCAAATCTGCACTCATCTCAAGTTTCATTTAATTTTGCATGCAAAACTCTCATCTAAACTAAGACAGTCCATTTCTTTGAAAGTAAGCAAAATTAAGTATTTGTCTATTCTGTTTTCTCAGTGGTAACCATGTAACCCTTGAACCTAAAATATATACTACTCATCTAATTTGCTTTGGTCACTGACCAGCAAAGCCCAAAATGATGTAAAGTACCTACCCTATGGAAATTTTGAACATTAGATTCTTTCACAATTTCAGTCTGAAAATATGAAGCTCATTTAAGGTATCAAAATGATTCTCAAATGCAGTCTTTTTTAGTAAAGTCTTAAATGCAAACATATATTCAACTTCACAAGATTAATTGAAATTTACCTTTAACTGCCACTGTCAGAGTGTAAGAAAAGTCATTAATTTCAAATGTCTATTTAAAAAACAGACAAAAAAAAACTTCTAGCAAGCAATTTTGTACAGCAATTCTCTAACTTTGTCAAGAAATTATCTCAACATTTTATATATACATCAAATGAGTAAAGCTATGGTGGTTTTGTTTTGTGTGTTGTTGTTGTTGTTGTTTTTTCCCTTAAGTGTGTGTGTGTGCATTCATGTGGAAACATGTTAGTATGTGTGTGGAGGCCAACAGCCAACTTTTTGTGTGTTCCTCAGGAGCCATCACTTTATTCTGGAGTTTGGACTATAGATTACCCATTAGGTTTGGCTGGCTGGCGGGCCAGCCAAGGAGCCTCCCTCCACCTCGCCAGTGTTGGCATTACAAGTCAAGCCTATCTCACCATGCCTGACTTTCTCAATCATGTGAGAAACCACCTCCTTAGCTCCAAAGTATCTATTTTATTTAACAATGCTAGTCAAGAATACACTCTTCAATTCCTTTTGTTCTCCCTTCCTTCATTCTATTTTGATAAAGAATTGAATATTAGCATTTTATTACCAAAGCTTAGACCAGTGTTCTTCGATACCTGGCCAGCCTCAATCAAACTAACATAAAAGCATGCCACTATCTTAACTTTTCCTTAAAACTGTTTGATGACAAACTCTTAGTTAACAAAATGGAAAGTCAGGCTGAGGTCACAGAACACTGTACTTTTAAATAAGAACTATTAATTTCATCTTTTAATGTTTACTACTTTTCTTATGGATAATACAAGAAAAGAACATTAAACAGTTTTCAACTATTAATTTTTAAAAATCACTCCAATTGACACCATTTTGGTAGCTTTTAAAATTTATATTTATCATCATGAAAAAAATTACCATGTTTCTTACGTAAATACATTATCAAACAAACAAAAGCTACATTACTTACATACCATAAAATTCTGCTGTAAGGGAGACCAAGAATACATTATGGGCACCGATGCAACTGCATTCAGGGTCTTTAATGGGATGACTTGTGCTGGAAAATCCAAGTCACTGGTCACTGAACACTAAAATAGAACATAAATAAAGTTTCCTCCTAAAAATAGAAAGATCAACCTTAAGCTTTAGCCATCATACTGTGAACAGATACTGAATTCTTAAGTAACTTTGAATAGAGTATTTTTTTTACCTAAGATGGAAAGGCTCATATAATCCTAAAAGAATCCTCTTTTCTCTAAAGAGTGAAAAAAACCTCCAGATTTTGCAAGTTTTAAATCCCTCGTCTTTCTCATACTTACCATTATCAATTAGAATAAAAAACAATATTTATATTAGCCTCAGAAATCTGATCTGCTCCTGCAAACTTTCTCTAAAACTTGAGCTTACATTCAATTCTGACCACCCAACCATACAGAATATAGTGTAATATGTATACCAACTGTGTTCTTAAATCATAAGATTAAGAATGTTACATTGACCTTTTTTTGTTTTTTGAGACAATCGTGTTATTGCACTCAATCTGTAGACCAGGCTGGCCTTGAACTCACAAAGATCCACCTACCTGCCTTTGCCTCCTGGAATACTGGGATTAAAAGCATGTGCAACTAGACTCAAGCACATTAACATTTTCTTTTTGATTTGCATATTATATCTTTTTGTGTTTGTTTGGTTTTTGAGATAGTTACATGATACAGACCAGTCTGTCCTCAAATTCACACTCCTCCTTGACAGACATCACTATGTGTGTCTAATCTTTCTTATCTTTGATCATCCTTTTTTAAAAACATCATACTTTGTTATATTATCCAATAATGCATTAAGAATAAGATTTAAGTTTCAATTAGAAAATGTATTCTAATCAAGTCTTTAATCTCTAATGTTCATATGTAAGGCACTACATAAGCACAGTAAATGTCTCATCATAGTTCTTATCACAACACTCTAAGACCCACTTCGCAGTGAGAAAACTAAGGTAAAGAAAGGACAAATAGTTTGCCCAAGATCATTCATAGATAGATAGATAGATAGATAGATAGATAGATAGATAGATAGATAGATAGATAGATAACACTGTACTAACCCACTACACACTGCCATGATATATATAATTGTATAATGCTCACACCTTCTGGTCCCTTGAAATGCCATTTTATATCTACAATGATGATGATTTAATGATATATTTCTGGGGCATTGTAAAGAGACAGAATCTGACCTCCAGAAGACAGAACTGTTTATTAGTGCACACAGTGGGGGACAGCTTCTCCATAGAGGAAGAAACTGAGGGCTCTACCAGGTATCGGGTAAGGGGCTTGAGTAAGGAAATTGTTGTAACCACAGTGTCTCATTCCTGAAACTGTTTGCCCAAGCAAAACAGACTATCTAACTGTAATCTCACAGGAACCCTGCTTCAGAATTGAGGCACTCTTATCAGATTTCATAGCATACTATTTCTCCTGTGTCACAGAAGGAAAAACTCCCAATTAAACTGTGATGTAATGCTTTCTTATGCTGACTTTAATAAGTATGTTGGTTTAAAAACTTAAAATTTTTGCAACTTTGATTCAAAAACACAATAAAAGTCTGTGTTCTAATAACATTACTTCCTATCCTGGTGAGGAGTAAAGCTTTTCTCTTCTCAAATGTCAAACCTCCACAGCCACCTCTAAAACACCTCACATGTGTATTGATGATCTATAATGACTAAAAATAGAACAGTATAAAAGACAACCATATCAGTCACATATACACACACATATACAGAGTCAATGTCTAGGTTTTATAAAGTGTGTTGCCAAGTCAGCAACACTAGGACTGGATGAGGTGAGAGCGCTCACACACAGGCCACATGAACCCTCAGCACTACACAGATGCTGGGGTACTCTAACCATCACATGCTCACCACCATACAGAGAAGACTTCTTCCTAACAGAAGCGAAAGAAGGACAGTGCGGTTCAAAGAACTGACAGTGATGTGTATTAATATGCTTTCCAAAAAGGCAAAGGTTAAAATACCAAAAGCTCAAAGTCAAGTAAATAAGGTATGAATGCTTGTTAATGTTCTCTTTCCCGCTAACTAGCTTCATATACAGATCCACATCCCACCATTTGCTAATCCAAAAACAACAGGAATTAACATTTACTGAGTACATACTATATCCCAGCATATATATATACATATATATATGAATATATGATCATAAAAAGTTTCATCATGACTTTACAATAAAATTTTACCATCACAATCCATAAATGAGACTAGGGGCCAGAAGTTAAATTAAATCTTCCTAGTCAGAAAGTAAATTTAGGAGGCAGGATTAAAAGCTAAGTCTAACTGCAACATCCAAGAACTTCTTTAATTTATCGTTGTCCAGTTCTTTGTTTCAGAAGTTCATGGGGAAAACTCACAATAGCAGCCTACAGCATCCGATGCACGGAACTGACACCCAACAAGGTCACAGCGGCACCCCCACCCACTCTCCTCTTACCCCACTCCTAGCACAGCTTCCCGCCCTTCACCCTCATTAGCTAAGTGCAGGAGTGGTCATAATTATTCAATAAAGCATCACATTCTATCAGGTAATCCTAAATATAAAACAATTTTTACTTCTTAAAAGTTATTGACTTTTGTTTTATATTTGGTGGTGATAAAATAATTGTGAGGTTCTACACAGACGCTCCCTTTAAAGCTTAGGGACAGGTTAGCTCTCTGGATATGACTTAACTGTGTTAACATGTGATTCCAAGGTCATACATAAAGTTAGACAGTTAAATATTTCTTTCAACCACTAGATGGGGGATGATGGCTATGCAGTAAACTCTCTGGATATACTAAATGAAAGCTGGGTTGACCATAAACAGAACTTACAGAAAGAAGCATGGAAAACAGAAAGGCACAGACTGAAGCATAAATTACACCTCCAGTCCTATACCTCTGCCATACCCCAGGTATCCATCACTTCAATTCTGACTCATCCACAAGTCATCAAGAGATGACACATAAACTCTGTAAGAGTAAAAGCACCTGAGGGGAAAGGTATACTTTTCCCTCTCTACCTCAAAATAATACTCAGAACAGTATCTCAAAATAAGTTTATGGAATCAACAGACTGCATTGCTGATTCTCTGTAACTGAGTTCAGCTCAGAGCTCTGAGAACATCTATACAGCAAACTGACAAGCTCTGCAGCACCTCTGGATCCTACCCTTAGCCATACCCCTCTTACATATGAAATGATACTGAAATGTCATAGCATCTGCAAACAAAACAAGGAAATGTTTCTGTTGACTTGCAGGAAAATTACACAAAACTGCCAGTTACTTAGCAAGTTACTTTACTTTCTTTGAGCCTGTTTCACCCTCAACACTTTAAATACTCATATCGCTCAGAGCAAGCCAAACTGTTGCCAGTCTCCAAAGCATTTTTACCTGTTCAGTTGTATCTCTAAGAGGCCTACTTTAGCAATTTAAATTTCTAATTCTAGTTCTAATTTCAGGCTCACAGAAGACATTATTACAGATGATTTATCAACAATGATAAAGAAACTAATTATGAAGGATGCCACATTTTCAGAGAAACATAGCTTACTGCTAAGTAACAAGGTTCCTCTGAGGTTGGAGACTTACATCAACCAGCTGGTACAATAGGCGACTGTGTGGCTGGAGAGGGAAGTCAAGCCAAAAATAGTTGTAGGAGTACACAACCAAACTGAGACTCTTGGCAGAAGGCTGGTTCCAAGTAAAAACTGTGTTATGGAAAATCGTAGAGGGAGAGCAGGTGAATGGCCTGCAGGGAAGGGAAAGAAATTAACACATCCTACTATGTGCCAAGCACTGTGTTAGAGACTTTACCAAAGTTGACCTTAAAATTCACTACCACACTATGAGGTAAATATTCCCAGTTTTAGGCAGGACATCTCAAAGGAAAACAGCTACAGCCATCCCACCTCCGAGTGATCCTTAGCCTGAAGCCAGCTAAGTAAGCCCAGCTTTAAAAAAAAGTAGACGGGAGTTATACCACAAGCTACCAAGTGTGCAATCAGACGTTCTTGGATACCCGACGGCTCATTTAGTTCGTTTATACTGAGACACAGTGAACTATTGATATTTTCAAACATACTTCTATTTAACGATGAAGAAAGTACAGGAAAGCCATCACCCCAAAATAGAATGTGAGTTACCATCAACTCTAAAAAGGTTATCAGCCCAGAAGAGAGTAAGGAGGAGGCATCAGCTTCCATCAACCCTAAAAAGAAGCTGGAGATTATTTCTGAAACTACCTTCATTTTCTTCAGGACTTAAAGGGAGCAAACCTAAGTTTCTGTAATGTGTTTATTGTTGCTGTTTTTTGTTTGAGATAAAATCTCACTGTGGCCCTAACTGACATAGAACTTGCTTTGTAGACCAGGCTAGCCTTTCACTTCTTCCTGCTTCTGGACCTTGAGTACTAGGATTAAAGACATATACACCACCATATCTGATAAACCCAAGTTTTTAATTAGCTAGGCATTCTTGTAAGGGCAGTATACATGATTTAAATTCAATACTACTTTTAGGTGAAACAGGAAGAAAAAAACGGGTGAGTTAAATCCAAGCATTGAGGAAGCTCAATAGCAAACATAGTTTCATAATCAGCTTTAAGAGCAGAGGAGGAGGAGAACTGAAGGAGACAGTCTTAAGAAAAACAAGCGTCTCTGACAGAAGAGGGTCAAAAATAAAAATAAGAATGGTCCTAATATCATCATGCAAGCATCTAATGAAAGCTAAGGAATAAACAGCAGCCCATTCCAGATTGCAAATTGCTTCCATTTTTGATGTTATGCATTTATGTCAAAGAGCAATTAGACAACATTGTAACAAATGGTTTTTACTTTCATCTTATATCACTTCTTTCACTTTCATTTTGTATCATTTCTTATACTTATTCCTAGCAGCATTTCAGACTAATATTTTTAAATACCATTTTCGTGTGTGTGTGTGCGTGTGTGTGTGTGTGTGTGTGTGTGTGTGTATGTATGTGTGCGTGTGCGCGTTTGTGGGTGCACGCGCACGAGTGTGTGTCACGAATT